AATCCATCAATATAGGGCTAAACAATTTCATCCAATCAACTCCCAACACCATATCACTACTACCCAATTTAAACAATCTGAAATCATGTACAAAAGTGTGTCCTTGCATTTGCCATTCCACCTTATTTCATCGAGCAGAACTGAATAATTGCTGACCATTAGCCACAATGATAGCCAAAGGATAAGGGGTTGTAATTTGTATGCCAGCATCAACCCATTTTGGAGTCAAAAAACTATGTGTACTCCCACTGTCAATTAAAATATTCAATGATCTGCCCTAAATAGATCCTTGAATTCTCAATGTAGTATGTCCAATAGAACCTGTTATCGCATTCATAGAAATTTCCAAAGTTTCCTCTTCTGCTTGTGGAGATTGTTCTGAATCAGTAGGAAAATTTTCTAATGAATTTTCAGACTCTTCAGCAATCATATTCAACTGTCTATTCTTACATTGATGACCTGGAATAAATTTATCACCACACTTAAAACAAAGATTATTCTGCCTCCTGTAATCGATCAGATTCTGCCTGGGGTTTTGTAGTGCTGTAGGTTTGGAATTAAGTGGCACTGGAGCAGGTTTAAAACTAATAATGGGGCTTGGGTAAGGTGGGGATTTAAAAGTAGGCCTCAACCTTCTATTTTCAAACTCAACAGATAACTCATAAAGCTTTTCCCGTTTACATGCTTCAGACAAATTCTTAGGATCAAAATCCTTGACCCTATGTTTGATATCATCCCTGACTCCACTAATAAAGAGTGAGACAAAAAATTCCTCAGTTAAAGTAGGGTTCTGTAAAAGCATATGAGGTTATAGTTCCTCAAATCTTTCTTGATAATCCTCCATTCTGAGTCAATTTAGTAAATTCCTCCACAATATCATAAAAGGATCTGTCACTAAATCTGTGACATAAATCAGCTTCAACTCATGCCATGTTACATGGTGTTTTTGCATAATATACACATCAAAGCAAATTTATGTCTTGCCTGTTAGGTACATTGTAGCTACTTCCACTCTCTGCTCAACAGGAACATTGCAAATAGAAAAATACTTCAAACATTTCTGAATTCATCCTCTAGGATTAGCCCCTTCAAAGAAAGGCAGTTCTATTTTAGGTCTATGCCACATAGTTCCTGCATTGCTAAATGAACCCCCTGACCCCTTTTTTAGCTTCCAATCATAATAGGCCTAGAGTCACTATTTTTACCCATTTGATTATCAGACTTAGAATTGATCTTAATAGCTAAACAAGCATCATGTTTACTCTTTAATATCCCAAGTTCATCCGTTTTATAAGTAAATCTAGACTTGTCATTCACCACAATCACCAAAACAGGGCTTTTGTCCTTATTTTTAGAATTATCAGGAGATTGTACCTGGTCTCCAGCAGAATGCTCTTGTTCCCCTGTTCTGCCTGTCAAAATCTTAAGCAGTTCCTCCACATAGCCTTGGTTAGTAGTCATTCTAGACTCCAAATCAGTGATTCTATTCTCCTGATTTTCCCACCATTTAGGTGGATTACTTTCATCTTGGCCTTGTTTCACCAACGCAGCTAGATCTTCAATCTGCTTTTGTATCCCAGACAAATCAGTTTCTGCCATAGTTTGATTCTTCTTTGGCATACCCACTCTTTACCAGAATTGAGGCTCTGATTACCAATTGTTATGGATTAAGAGAAAATAGTAGATTCGAGAGAAGAATTTAGAGAAGAGAGATTGTAGAAAAGGAATTCATCATTCATTGCATAATGAAAAATGTGACACAACAGTTTTATTTAGTTACAAGCTGTACAGAGAATCTAACAATGCCAGATGGCATTCTCTGCTAACAAACTTCCTAACATATTGATATTTCATTCTTTGGCTATTACAGGTACTGGGCTATCCTGGTTGGGCCACTCCACCTTGCTCTGGATCTCTTCAGTCGGCTTCAACCCATCAAGTAATCCTCGTGCTTCAATTCCCTCTTTCATTTTAATTCCCAAATTGCTCTCCATAATCCCTAACCCTCGTTCCTCTCTTCCCAATTTCTCTTTGTTCCTTCCTTCTTCCTTTTTTCTTCTGACTTCTCCCTCTTCTCTTCCGACTCTAACAAGTGGCTTATTACCTTCACTACACACTTGTTTTGGTTCTTGTTTCGGGGTTGTTCATGTTGAAAATGTACCATTTCTTAATTCAGCGGTTTAAGTTCAAGTATTTCTAGCGAGTGACTGCCATCGGTTATTCTTGTGTTGTTTTCGGATGGATGACGGTTTTCTCTATTAAGCAACCTTCATCGAAGTTGGATTCCTTTCGCTTCCTATTAGCTTTGCGCCCTTCGAGCTGTTGATTTTCAATTGGATAATAGTTCCGCAAGCAAGTTTTGTCGGGCATTTGTCTGGAATCATTGTGGGGTATACTATAGCTTGGGGTTTGATTCATATGATGACCTATATTATTAGGCAGTATCCATGGTGGGATAGATTGTTGTAGCTTCTACATTTAGTTTGAAACATTCTGGTGCATATGGTTTTGATTTTCTTGAGATCGAATCCATTACGGATCCTTCATTGCCTTGTGTCCGGTTTATTGGAGATGGTAGAACCTTGAAGATTAGTGCAGATTAGTTGCATATTAGTGCATATCATTGATTTGCTTTGATAATAAATAAAAAATCCCAGGTTTGCTTGTGAACTTGCAAAGCTTTATACAAATTTCTACACTGACTTGGGTTGCAAGTTACTCACCACTATGCATATGTATATGCTTTTAAAGAGTTTTATTTTTTAATTATTTATAAATTTTAAACATCATTTTACTTAACACAACACAAGAACAACAAACAAGAAAATTTAAAGATTAAAAACACACACGAACCAAGCGACCTAAATGGTTAAGGGGCTAGTTGTTATCCTTTGAGGTTTCGGGTTTAAGCACCACATATATAAGTGATATAAAAGTTTATTGTTAAATAATTGAGTCTTAGAACAAATATTGTCTTGTGTACACTCTAAATTTATCAACAAAAAAAAACTTAACATGATTTAAGTATTTTTTTAAATGAGTATTAATTTATCTATAACAATATTTTTACCCAAAATATAATTTGAATGTTTAGGATTAATAAAATTTTGACCCTCAAACTTTGAAAAAAATCATTTTAGTCCTTAATATTTTTCCTCCTTCTCCCCTAAACTTTGTTTTTGTCAAATTGAATATATTAATAAATTAGTGTAAACAGGGATGGAACGGCTGGAGGTTGTTATCTCCCTAAATTTTTTAAATTCTCTTTTATTTTAGATTCTTTTATTGATGGTTCGTTTTCGTCAATTAAAATTTTATAAATTCACCACCAACATAAAACCACACATCCATCCCCAGGTGTAAACTGTTTTATCTTTTACTAAAATTGATGACAAATATTTTGTTATTTATGTAAAAAATTAAAAATAACTAAAAAAATAATAATTAAGAAGAATATAATATTGAAAAATGATAAAATGTTAAAAATATAAACAAATATATTTAAATTATTAAAAAAATTAATATTGACATCGATTTAATATATTTACTTTTTAATTAATTCAATTTTATAAGAAATAAAATTAAATATTTTTAAAAACATTCAAAGACCAAAATTATACATTAGAGGGAGTATTTATATACATCATATTCCATTTTTTTTTAAAAAAAAAGTTTCAAAATTCTTATTGATAATCATATTTAACTAACTTAAATACCACAAAAAACACGTGTCAATATTCAATTAAATCACAGAAGCATTTGACTTTATATATAATGAACCAATCAACAATTGCCACGCCATGTTCTTTTGAGTCCCTATAGTTACTAACCCTGATCTCTCACCCCAAAGGATATACCCTCTTTCTCCCTTCCCTAAATCCTAATCGATCATCTTAATCTCATCTCATTAAGCCCAAGATTCCGAGTAAGTCTTTTTATTTAATTTTCATTTTTATTTGCATATTTCAATACTTTGATAATGCTTTCGTTAAGTTCGATGAGAAATGTTAATTTTTGAACGTGACTTTTTTTTCATTTGAATTGTTAATTTGTTCTCTGTTTGGTTGCCTAGAAAATGTGTGTAGAAGCGAAAAAGTTTACAGTGTGACATTTTATTAGGTTTTATTCTGTTCTGTTCGTTCTGGTAATTGTTATTTTTTTAATAAATTCTCCCATTTTATGGATAGCCATTTACAATTACGGTATATCATTAGGGCCTCAGGTTGTGGAATTAGCTGATGATTCGAGGGAATTTTTTATCAATATGTATTTGGCGGGTAGGAAAATAAAGGAAATTAAAAAAAATTGAAAAATGGAGTAGACTTTTTCTAGAGTTAACTTCAACTAGGACTCGAGGAATAAACTTTGTATTTTATTTTTGTTCCTTTTTCTTTTTATAATTTTATTCTTAAGAAATTTATATTTTACACTTAGACGCTGGAAACAAGAAATATGCTTCATTTTTTCCTTAGCTTTTTTGGCCCTGTATTCATTTTTTTCCTCCTAAGGTTTTCGTCTCTATGAGTGTCCTTGGAGAATTATATTGTTAATTTTGCAAAGGTTGATCTGGATAATACCTTGTTATTAATGAATAGAAATGTTACAAATATATATACAATTCTAATCTAACCAACTAACTGATAATTAGTTATAACTGAAAAATAGAAATAACAAACTTAGTTTCTTAACACTCCCCCTCAAGTTGGTGGGTAGAAGATATCCTTTACCCCTAACTTGGATACAAGATATTCATGTTATTTTATTTCTAAAGCTTTGGTAAAAATGTCTGCTAACCGCTCTGAAGAAGATACAAACTCTGTCTTGATGAGTCCTTGTATTTTCTCCCTTATAAAATAACAGTCGATTTCTATGTGTTTTGTGCGCTCATGATAAACCGGATTCGCTGCAATCTGAAGAGCAGCCTTGTTATCACAATATAACTTGACTGTATGTCTTCTTTCCAATCCAAGTTCACTGGCTAAACCATTCAACCATGTCAATTATGCTGTTGTAGCAGCCATGCTTCTGTATTCTGCTTCAGCAGATGACCTGGCTATAACATTTTGCTTCTTAGACTTCCATGAAATCAATGAATTCCCAAGCTTAATGCAAAAACCAGAAACAGACCTTCTTGAAATAGGACATGCAGTCCAGTCTGAATCACGGTATGCTTTGAGTTCACAGCTGCTATTTGAGACCATCAGAATCCCCTGTCCAGGACTCCATTTTATATACCTCACTATCCTCAATGCAAAATGCAAATGAGATTCCTTAGGTTGTTGCATAAACTGACTCAAGTAATGCACAACAAAGGTTATATCAGGTCTGGTATGTCTGAGGTAAATAAGTCTTCCAATAAGCCTTTGATTGATACTCTTGTCAATTAGCAGCTCATCATTTTCATTACTTCCTTTTGTGCACAGCTCATCATACTCTGTTGTAGTGAGCCTAACATTTTGCTCAAGAGGAGTTCTTGCAAGTTTTGAACCACTCATTCCTGATTCCTCAATCAATTCAAGAGCATACTTGCGCTAATTAATTAAGATTCCTTCTTTTGACCTCATAATCTAAAGCCCCAAAAAATACTTCAGCTCACCAAGATTCTTCATTTTAAACTTTTTGTTCAAAAGACTCTTTAAATCATTAATCAAACAACTATCATTGCCAGTAATCAACAAGTCATCAACATAACTACAATCTTCTTATCATTTCTCATTGTGAACAAAGAATAATCAAATTTGCTCTGTTCATAACCAGCCCCTAAAAGAGCCTCAGTCAACTTTAAATTCCATTACCTAGATGCTTGTTTCAAGCCATAAAGAGATTTTTGCAGTCTACACACCATATTCTCCCCTGACTGCAAAAACCAAGAGGAAGTTCCATATATACTTCCTCAGACAAATCACCTTGTAAAAAAACATTATATACATCAAGCTGAAATAGAGGCCAATCAAACACAGAAGCAATGGCAAGGAGAAAACGAACAATAACCAATTTGACTACTGGGGAGAAAGTATCCACATAATCCACACCCTCTTTCTGATTATATCCCTTGGCCACCAAACGAGCTGTATACCTTTCTATGGCACCAGTAGCATTGTACTTAATCAGATAAACCCATTTACAACCAATTGGAACTTTTCCAGAAGGTAAAGAAAAAACGGACCAGGTTTTATTTGTTTCAAGAGAAAGAATTTCATCATTCATGGCCTGTACCCATTCAGGATGTTGAATGGCCTCATGATAAGACTTAGGTTCAACAGACTTTGAAATAGAAGAAACAAAAGACTGTGTGCTACAGGGAAGATGACAGTAAGAAATGAAATCTGAAATGGGATAATTGGAGGTGGAAACAGAATTGAAAATAAAATCAGTTAACCATTGAGGTTGTTTAGGAACCCTAGTAGATTCTCTAACCAAGACTGGAGCTACTGGAACCATAGAAGTTTCTAACTGTTGTGATGATTGCCCAAGTTCAACACTAGAAGGAGAAACATGTGGGACAACAGGAACATGTTGCTGACCAAAAGAAAGGTTTAAGAACTCAGAGTCAGGAACAAAAGGAGTAAAAGGAAAGAAATAACTTGTTTGAACAGGAAATTGAAAGGGAAACACTTGTTCATGAAAAATAAAATCCCTATTTACAAAGAATGTCTTAGAGGTAAGATCAAATAAGAGATAACCTTTTTGAGTGTTAGAATAACCCATGAAAACAGAGGGTAAGGCTCGAAGAGCAAATTTGTCAGTTGGTTTTGGATCAGTAGCATAGCACAAACAACCAAAAATTTTCAGAATAGACATGTCAGGGACTTTATGATAAAGAAGCTCATAAGGTGTTTTCCATTGTAAAACAGAAGAAGGGAGTCTGTTTATAATGAAACAAGTTGTTAATACACATTCACCCCAGAATTTAATAGGTACTTTTGACTAAAAACGTAAAGCCCTAGCTACCTCTAAGAGATGTCTATGTTTTCTTTCTGCAACTCCATTTTGCTGTGGAGTCCGAACACAGGAACTTTGATGCAAAATGCCAAGAGAAGAGAGAAAAGGAGAGCAAAGAGAATTGAAAATTTCTGTACCATTGTCACTTCTAATAATTTTAGTGACAGAAGAAAAATGAGTAGAAGTAAATGAAATAAACTGTTTAAGAAAAAAATAGCATCATTTTTAACCCTCAAGAGATAGACCCAAGTCATTCTTGTGCAATCATCAACAATAGTCAAAAAATATCTATGACCACTACGAGTAGATATTCTATAAGGACCCCATAGATCTATATTAATTAATTCAAAGGGTGTTGAAGATTGAGTAGAACTAAGAGGAAATGGCAACCTAGTTTGTTTTGCTAAAGGACAAACATTGCAAGTATGAACAAAATTTACATCAAACTTATCAGAAACATAAGAAGAAAGCTTTTTCATAGCAGAAGAAGAAGCATGCCCAAATATAGCATGACAAAGACTAGTTTTATTAGAAACAAAAATATCATGTACAGAATGAACACAAGAAACATCCCCAGTACTAGCCAAAGAATTTGAAAACAAACCAGTGGCTCCTTTAGACTCAAAAATGTAAAGTCCATTAAACCTTTTACCAATCCCCTTGATCATGCCATTGTAAAGATCCTGCAAGATACAAATGTCAGGATGAAAAGAAATGATACAAGCATGGTCTTTATCAAGCCGAGAGACAAAGATCAAATTATGAAAAAAACTGGGAACAAACAGGACATTGGAAAGAACTAATTCAGAATTTAACCTATGAGACCCTATATGAGTAACAATTTCAGTATGACCATTAGGCAAACGAACAGTGAACAGGACATAAAACAGGAAATTGCAAGCTCTTGAAAACAGACAAAATGTGATCAGTTGCACCAGTATCTATTATCCAACGCACACAAGAGTTACTGGAAGCAGATAAATTACAACCAACAGTACCTGCAAGATTCGCACTGGAATCTAAGGTTGAACTTTTGCTCAGAAAACCCAAGATTTGATGATACTGCTCGGGAGTGAAAGAAGGCGCTGCTGAAACGGCAGAGGAAACCATCGAGCCATTCTCAGCTTCTCCATTAATAGCAGGTACAGAGTTAACTGCCATGGCAGCCTGAGAAACCTTTTTTCTGTTGAATTTGAAGTCTGGTGGAAAGCCAATAAGTCTGTAACAAAGATCGTGACTGTGGCCTTTGATTTTACAGTAGTCACACGTTCCACTGAAACGTTTTCTTTCACTACCTTTGGAAGCAGTTGTGAACACCACAGAGGCTTCAATGGGTGAGGCAGACAGATGAGCTCGATGCAACTCCTCCTGAATAATCATGGAGTAGGCTTGATTGACAGTAGGCAGGGGCTTCATGAGGAGAATTTGACTCCGAATTGCAGAATAAGTTTTATTGAGTCCCATCAGAAATTGGAACAATCGTTGTTGAGCCACAAGAGTCGAATTCTGCTGAGCAGCCTCGCAATCACAAAAGGATAAAGGAACAAGCGTCGTGTGTACTCATCCCATAAAAGTTTGAGACGAGTGAAGTAGTCGGAGACAGATGAATCACCTTGCACGAGGGTTGCAATCGAGCGATGGAGAAAGAAAACTCTAGAGCCATCGATTTTATCGAATCGCTCTTTGAGATCTTTCCAAACGGCTTCGATAGTTGAAGCAAACACTATGCCAATAGAGAGATCCTGGCTAACAGAGTTCAAGATCCACGAGAGCACAAGAGCATTGCAGCGCTCTCATTGAGACTGCAACAGACCTTCATAGTCATCCCTTCGACAACTCTCATCGACAAAGTCGAGCTTGTTCTTGGCGAGAAGTGCGATGCGCATGGAATTCTCGCCAAACTGTAATTCTCGGCACCGGTAAGCTGTTGCGACACCAACTGAACGCCTGGCGTGTCTGAATGATGCAGAAAGAGGGGGTGATTCGAATCAATCGTGAGTGTCATGATCCCTAAGAGAAAACGATTTGGGGAATAAAATAGAAACACTGGAACTGCTGGAAGTAAACGGGCTACAAGACTTAGCGAGGTATGGGCCAAACAGGAAACCCATGTGAAAATAACCTGGAGACTGATACCATGTTAATTTTGCAAAGGTTGATCTGGATAATACCTTGTTATTAATGAATAGAAATGTTACAAATATATATACAATTCTAATCTAACCAACTAACTGATAATTAGTTACAACTGAAAAACAGAAATAACAAACTTAGTTTCTTAACATATATCACCATACCCGTGTCTGTATATTCGTTGGATGCGAGTGTTGGACGCAGAATAATTAACTGCCATAGGAAGATAGTTCTTGGAAATGAGACTCATTGTAGGTTATATCTGAGAACAATTTGTTAAGTAAATTTTATTTGTTTTTTCTTTTCCTTCATTTTCCTTCAGGAGTGAATCCCTGCTCTAGATGATTGATCGGAATCTCGAAAAATAGTGGAGGGGTGGGGGTTGAAACAACAACTAGTTATATTGTTTTATTGCATTTTAATATTAAGTTTGATCATAATTAGATGGTTTGTCAGTAGCTGTTAATTTGAATGTGCCCGGCACTTTTGGACCTCAATAAGAAATATAAAGGTTGACTTTGTATCTTTGCTTGCTTATTCTTATCTGCTAGCTGAAATTAGAAACAAAGGTTGCTCTTGCAGTGGAGTTTCGGGTTTATGGTGATGTTAATGGTCGCATGGTACTGAACTCGGTCCAAGTGGAGGCTAGAAGCATGGAAAATGAAAGTGAAACTGGAGAAAATCCTGTTGAAGGAACTTTTCAACGGGGATTGAATGAGAAAATAGAGCAAACTTCTCCAGGAATGGAATCTATCCCAGAGGGTAATCCGGCTGATGAACCTTATGTGGGTCAGGAGTTTGAATCCGAGGCAGCTGCACATGCTTTCTATAATGGATATGCCACAAGGGTGGGATTCATCATTCGAGTAAGCTTGTGGTCGTGGGATCGAGTCCCATTGAGGGCAATTCATAACGGAGGTCTTCCACGGAAGCTGCTCTCAACCTGGCGTTAGGGGCAGCCTACTACCTTACCTCCCCTTACCCCATTATATATGGGAATAGGGCCAGCTATTTTTTTTAGAGAAAATAACCTCAGTGACCAAAAATGCCTTATAAAATGCGATTTTAACCAACTTTTTTTGGATTTTCCAAAATGACCAACAAAATCGCAATGCGATCGCTAATTCGCAACGCGATCTCAGGTATCGCAAATCAGTTTCCAGATTCGCAACGCGAACTTCGACTATCACATTGCGATTTACATATTCGCATTGCGATAGTCCAACTTCGCGTTGCGATTTCCCAAGTTCGTTGCGATAGTCTCCAAGTGCGTTGCGATAGTCTTCAAGTTTGTTGCGATAGTCTCCAAGTTCGTTGTGATAGTCTCCAAGTTCGTTGCGATAGTCTCCAAATTCGTTGCGATAGTCTCCAAATTCGTTGCGATAGTCTCCAAATTCGTTGCGATAGTCTCCAAGTTCATTGCGATAGTCTCCAAATTCGTTGCGATAGTCTCCAAGTGCGTTGCGATAGTCTCCAAATTCATTGCGATAGTCTCCAAATTCGTTGCGTTAGTCCAAAATCGCAACGACTGGTGGTATTGCATTTGTTTCTTAAGAATTTTCTCTAAAAAGATAGTATTCGCGCGGACGTGTCGAACACACGTATTACCACGACAACGACCACGACCACGAGACGAGACGGGACGGCAGCAGTGGCGGCACGCGAGAGTCCCCCTTGTTCTCTATCACTCAACAAGTAAGTGGGAAAGCCAAGCCTTAAATACCATTCCCAATAGTGTTTCCAATACTATGTGGGATTGAAAATTCACTAGCAATTTAAATTATGAAGAAACGGAAGAATTTTTTGGTTTACATTTACAATAAGCCTCTCGTAATCCAAGAACATGCTTTACCAACTTAACAAAACAATTCATCACGATATTGTCTACTCTGCTCGGTATTTCGAGCAAGTAGTAAATGTTGATTATAATTGAACTTAAAGTGTATCCGGAAACACTATTGGGAACAAGTGTTGGTAATGCTCAATCCCACATAGTATTGGAAACACTATTGGGAATGGTATTTAAGGCTTGGCTTTCCCACTTCCTTGTTGAGTGATAGAGAACAAGGGGGACTCGCGCGCCGTCGCCGCCATCGCCGTCCGTCTCATCTCGTCTCGGGTCGTGGTCGTGGTCGTGGTAATACGTGTCTTCGACACGTCCGCGCGAATACTATCATTTTAGAGAAAATTCTTAAGAAACAAATGCAATAACGAAGTTGGAGACTATCGCAACGAAGTTGGAGACTATCGCAACGAATTTGGAGATTATCGCAACGAACTTGGAGACTATCGCAACGAACTTGGAGACTATCGCAACGAAGTTGGAGACTATCGCAACGAAGTTGGAGACTATCGCAACGAACTTGGAGACTATCGCAACGAACTTGGAGACTATCGCAACGAACTTGGAGACTATCGCAACGAACTTGGAAAATCGCAACGCGAACTTGGACTATCGCAACGCAAATATGTAAATCGCGTTGCGATAGTCGAAGTTCGCGTTGCGAATCTGGAAACTGATTTGCGATACCTGAGATCGCGTTGCGAATTAGCGATCGCATTGCGATTTTGTTGGTCATTTTGGCAAATCCAAAAAAAGTTTGTTAAAATCGTATATTATAAGACATTTTTGGTCACTGAGGTTATTTTCTCTTTTTTTTATGCATGCTTTGTGTGATGTAGGTTACTATCATGACCATCTGCACTTCTTTCTCATAGCGTAGTTTATCTTTCTTTGAAACTAGATACAATCTGAAAAATATTCTCGCGAATAATGTTTTGGCAATGATATACGTTAACAGTGAAAAAAAGTATCTTAAATAGCTGGTTATCTTTTCTGCTTGGCACGAGAACAATGATGTGTTCGTAATATGAATTATGGTCAGCTGTTAAGTGATATTTAGCGGGATTAAGCGTAATGCATGATGGATGCATTGATAAAGTATTCAAAAAAGTGTTTGTCAAATGGAAGTTACTTCTGATTTGGCCTTTTATGGTTAATAATATAAAGTTCAGTCACTATTGATTCACTTCTATTAAATTGAGAACAATGTGATTATAGGTTCCTTAATCTTTTACAATTGTCTAAAATATATTGCTGTGATGGTCAATGGATGATGATGTATATGGCTTCGGTACAGCATGTGTGTTACTATTGAGGTAGTCTCTCGAGTGGCACAAGAAGAGTGAAATGTAATGAAGGGAAAGTGCTTAGAACTAGGTTTGCTTTAAAGCGTGGTCTCGAAGTTCTTTCTTGTTATTAATCTCTAACCCACGACATATGACAGTCTTTTTCTTTCTCAAGTTCTTTGATGATAATTTTGCCCCTTTTCTCAGGTACACGATAGTGTAGATTTCTATTTTTGTTAGTAGACGCATTTCAGGGCATCTTAAAATAGTAGGGGGATGAAAATTATGTTATGAAGGAAATATAAGTCATTCAGAACGCTTACATGTAAAGATAAGAATTGTTACTATAATTTCTGAAACTTTTAGTAGTTCATTTATTTATTTCTGCCTTCCTCGTCCTGTTGCCTTGAAGAAAACAACATTTTATTCTTGGTTGCTGTTCTGCTTACTGGATCTGTAGTAATAATTATTTGAAGTAGAGCTTTTCGAGAAATGTTGTTCGATTGATGCAATTGGACATAACCTAGAACGTCGTAGCTTTACTCATGCTGTTGGTTTTGTCAATGAACTCATTTAAGCTCTTTCAACTTCTGCGTGTAGCCAATCCTTAGTGATGAAGAACACAGTTAGTTAGGAATTCATTTTGGTGTTACTTTCGATTTAACCTCTGAAATTCTGTTATGGTACCATTGTTTGTGTTAAATCGGCTTTGGATTGATCATCTGTCGACAAGTTAACATTAAAGGCTTTGATTTTGTAGTCGTGTGTTGATAATGACATTCATCATCTAACTTGCATTATCGATCTTGTTTTTGTTTCAGAATGAACATAACAAAATCCGAGAATTAACACAGCAGCTGGCAATGGAGAAAAAGAGAGCTGCAGCTTATAGAAGACATCTAGAGTTGATATTCGAGCAAATCGAGGAGCACAATGAGAGTCTATCAAAGAAGATCCAACATATAGTCGACCGTGTGCATGAAGTGGAGAACAAAGAGTATCAGAGCCGTGTATAGTTCCCGTTTAGTTCTTCGTACATCGTTGAAATATATATATAAGACCAAGACCTGGTTATGGAGTCATGTTGAGTTGGGTATAATCAGGTGCTTTTGGGTAAGGTCTGTTGGCTGTGAAATCTAGGGTATACCAATTCATTAGAATATTCCTTGTATAATTATCTTCCAAAATTGAACCATATCAGAATCAGGGTTTATACTAAATCAAATTAGGTCGGTCAATGTACAGTTTTTGGGGACAAGCCTTGCTGCAGCTCGTGTGAAGGGTACAAATATAATTGCCATTGAGGGCTTTTATCTTGTTATTAAGTTATTCAATTCAAGCAAATGTTTGGGTTAAACTATTTTCTGAGATTTTTTACTGCTGTTTGTAATTTTGTCTAGTTACCATGATTTTTGGCCTTGCAAACCATGTGAATTATTAATTCCAATTTTAAACCAGCTGAAACTTAAACATTATTTTAAAATTTCTAAATAAACAGGAACTAAAAGCCAAAAAATACTCCAAAATAAATATAGCCTTAGACAAACTTGGTCCATCCATTATGTTGAAAACATTCATTTCTGAAAAAGGTATTATAATGTATTTATGAACATAATTCCTTTACATATAATTCTTTAGCCTTATGAAGTACTCAAGTGTCAAGATAAAACGGCCGACATTATGCATTTAAGGGAAAACAGATGTATAAACGAAATATCAATGTACCATTTACACAATCAGGTTGCAAATGGGGAGTATGTCCCAAAGTAATTCAGGTTTTCAAACCACTGCAACAAAGCAATGGAAGCCAAGACATTATTCAAAGCTTCAAAATAAAATATTTGTATTCAATTTCATCATTCATTCAAATATTCAAGAATGTTGTGTACCAGGAAATATGCCAGTTTCCTCCCCGAACACGGAAAACATCACTCCCGGATTGTAATTGCAACCTTGACCTTCGGTATCTTTGAATTAAGTAGCTGATCATCTCTTCCAGGTGCTTGCACTTGGAAACCTGTTTCAACTCGGTTACGCTAGACCTACACCGCAAGAGAAAGGAAGAGCGGAAAAAGAAAAACAATGGTATAACATTTTATATGACACATTTCAATCTACTGATCTAATTATCAGCTATATGGGATGACAGGGCTTAGGATGCCGGACACGCACCAACACCTTTGACGCTATCTCTGCTGCAATAGCTGCAGCTCTATTGACTCGTATTCCTTCAAGTTGTTGACTACGTTTTGGACTTTCTTCGATAGTTGGTTACTGTGGTCTTCAACAATTTTCATGAATGCAGTCAGCTGTTCTTGATATGCTGCACATAGTCTTTTCTTGTTCCGCAATTCAACGGTTAGTTCTTGAATTTTCTTGTCCTTTTCATCCTTCGGAGTTGCATGAAGAAAGAACATCATTTAGAAAAATAAATATGTTTTACATGGAAACACTATTATTCCACATGATTAGTTTACAAAAATATTATACATAAAGAGCAACAAAGCCAAAAAATATGTATGCAAAGATATAAGCAGATCAAAAGATTAAAACACTCAATCGTTGAAACGAATTAGACAAGGTTTAATCAAGAAAAATATAGTCGGAGTAACATAACATGAAACTACAACTAAATGGAGTAATTTCGCTAACTATAATTACTTTAGAAATAATTGAATTCATAACTTTTAATTGGGTTGGTCACGTTAGCTTTTCACGATTAGATTAGCCGTATGTAACAAAAACCAAAATATATGAGAAGGTTTCTTTAAAAATGAAAATTCCCATTTCGAGTGCAAACTCATATTCATCACTTACACTTGAGCCTGAGTAACAAAGTTGTTAGGGCTAAACTGCACAAGAATAAATCACCTAAATTAATCAATCTTAGGTTTATTCTCAACTAGTCTGGCACCCTCTCATGAACAACATTTTTATTCAATCTTTTCATATAATAGAAATCACCATCTCGATATCTTTGACTTAGAAAAAAACAAAATCATCTCGGTATCCTCATTTGAGCATTACAATCATCCTATGATGTAATGTCTTGAAATTGCAAAATATTTAGACTCTCACACATAAGTGAAATAAAACCGGTCGTCCAAAGTGAAGACATTGCACCGTATCAAAATTAAATAAATCATACAGAAAGTGAAACTTGACAATTTCACCAAAGTTTCGGACAGTGATGATGGGCATGGTATGTAACCGCAAAGCAGATAATAGTCTGAAATAAGAGGAAAAGGAGGGGAGAAAAGTAAACAACTGACCATTGTTTGACGAGCCTCGCGTGGAGCTAATACAAGCGGATGATTATGTTCCTTTACGAATCTCGTTATCACCCATTTACCGGACTTATTGAGCTTAATATGAATCATTGCTTTGCAGCCTTCCCTTGTGCTTGGCCGTGGCTTTCTAATGGGGCCAAATTTACCCCGAATGCTAACGCAATGGCCCTCCTTATTACATCCGAGTCGACGAGCAAGAATCCTCCCATCTCTTTCCGATCGACGACAAGACATCACACGCATGACAAAGCCTACTTGTCGTGCATATTCATCATAAAATATCTTGGCAGCATCTTCAGACTCAAATTCCATACCTTCATGTGGTTCTACAATCGAATCTGCATCACATGGGACTGTCAATATCTCACCTCCTGTGAAGCTTTCTATGGCTTCTGCACCCTCATCCAAATCCACTGCCTCACATAAATGTTGACCATTATTCAAAAACTTACTTTTTTTATAAAAGATATAAAATAAGAAGTCACCTCCTCTACACGAGGAAAATGAGAACAATCACTCATAAATACAATTCAAAGTAGAAAATTATTTTAAAAAAAACACACATTTTAAGCAGTACAAAGAAGTTTCTAAACACTAAAAGCCATAGAAAACAGAAGCCTTTTTCCTACAATTTGAAGCCCACAATATGGATCGCATTATATCACAAAAATGAAAATTGTAAGGGACAAATCCTGTTACTCTGACTCAGATGTGAATGTCAATTACAGACGTGTACTACTTCAAATACCACTCACCTTTAAGCTCGGACTCGAAAATGCCATTGACGTTTCAATTTTGCCAATTTTATCACTGACGTTTATGTTTAACTCTAATTATGCCACCCCGACGTTAAACCGTTAATGGGACGTTGACATGGCATCTACTTGCCGTGACGGTGATGACATGGATGGTTTCATTAAAGCTATTTCATCCAAGTAGGATCCTTGTTGACATTTTAACAATAATTTATTTGATATAAAGTCCTAATTTGCAAGCCTAACCCTAAATCCTCTCATTCTCTTCTCTTCTGCTGAGAATTCTTCCGTTAACATCGATGAATTGAGCACATTATCATCCGCACAGCCGTGTTTTCTGAACCGTTTGAAAATCAAATTGGAAATGGAAGAAGAAACATTTGAACGAAAGGAAAGACAGTGAAGGAAATTTTCATGGGGCAAAGCAGCCCATGAAAACGAGAAGAGAGCAGCCAAAAAAAGAGGGATTAACATTGAAAATTGTGGGGACTTCATTTCTTTAACCTTACTTTTGCTTTATGTGTATCCAAATCAAATGAGAAAGCTACATATTTATAGTATGGTTTTGCAGAAAATAATAGTAATAAATTATTCGATGTTTATCAAAACATTTTTAAATTCAAAACCCCCTGAAATTGAAGCTTTCATACATGGCGATGGAGTTCAACCTTGTACAGTGAAGTTCAAAGATTTGATCTGTAAATGTCAAATCTGTTAATCCTTACGATATGAGTTGAGGAAGAATGGAAGGAGATGAAGACTGCTATTAGTTTGTGTTCATAAAAATTAAAAATTTGAATTGTTATTTAATATTTATAATAGTTTTGTTAAGATTATAACAAGTTCTTAAGTTAACTTGGTGGTTGGGTGTTTACTTTGGTTCTAAAGGTCTATGGTTCGAATCCCATTAAAAGTATTTTTTTCCACCAACAAAACGACAACGTTTTGAAGTTTTTGAGCATCAAACCGGTCATGTCAAAACGACGCCGTTTTGGTGAGGGAGCCATGTCATGTCATCACTATCACGACAAAGGAGATGCCATGTCAGCATCCAGTTAACGGATTAATGGCGGGGTGGTATAATTGGAGTTAAACATAAACGTCAATGATAAAATTGGCAAAATTGAAATGTCAGTGGCATTTTCGAGCCCGAGCTTAAAGGTGAGTGGCATTTGAAGCAGTTAACCCTAAACAATAAACACAGGGTGATTCAAGTAAAATAATTAGTCACAGCAACATAGACCAAAGCAACTAAAATGAATGCCTTCAAGCAGACACTTCAAGGATTAGAACACAAGACTCAGACTTGAATTTCCTGGTTCAAGTCTTATTGAAACAAAAGCAGAACTTATTGAAACAAAGCAGACCCAAAAATTTAGGGCATGATGAAATTAAATGACATGAATATGATACGTAAAAGACATAAAAAGTTACAAAAAATAACACAAACATGATATGAATACATGAATGTATCAAAATTCATATAACATGAATTATCGACATGTTAAAGGTTTTATGCATTAAGTACCTTGAAACACTATTACAACATGAAATCAATACAAATATGTTGATTACCAAGTATAGAATACTATCTCCTTTTGTTTAACTGGAGACCTATGTCTCTCAATCTATACCGAAAAGAAAATATAATATTTCTTCACAAGTCATCTACTTAAATCATTCATCAAATAAGGAAGAGTGGATATAGATTTTAATATTCTTCAATAAATGACAGATTACTTGTTAAACCAATCAAACAATTGACATTTTATATTTAAAGAACAGAAAATAAATACCCAAAAGAATCATCCCATTAAAATCAAAGCTACACTGAAATCACTGTATTTATCATCACTTATCAATTTATATAGTTATATAAATGTAAAATCAAGGAAAATTAACAAAAGAATCAATGAAACAGAGAAGAACAAAATGTGGGAGAAAAAAGATAGCAAAATTCAAAATAAATCAAACCCATCAAAACCAAAGTTACCCTAACACTAAATCCAGTGTTTATAATAACTCGTTAACATATATGAATGGAAAATTAAGCAAAATTACAAAAGATTCAATGAAACGGGAGAAGAAAAAAGGAACAGTCAAAATAAATCAAACCCATTAAAATCAAGCTATCCTAATACTAAATTCAGTGTTTATCTTCACTCAATAAAAATATGCAAAATTAAGCAAAATTAACAAAAGATTCAATGAAACAGAAGGGCAGAAAAAACCAAAAACAGTGGGAAAAAAGTTGAGACTTACTTGATTGAGAAGATGGAAAAGGGAAATTTAGTGGTAGATCCTTCGTATGTGCCAAGGGCTCTATCCAAATGAAGAGAAGGGACGGCGACTCCACTTTGCGGGTGGGCTCTAAAGGTAGTTTTCGAGAAAGTTTGAGGGGTTCACTTACATTTCAGATCACCAAATTTAATTTTAATTTTAACTAAGGGTAAACTATACATTTAGTCAGCCAGCTATCATTTTATTTTTATTTTGGTCATGCAACTATTGTTTTCTTCAGAATCGTCACTAATATTACATTTTGATTTCATTCACTTATAAAGTTTATGCGTCAACTCCATGCTTTCTCCTCTTTTTCTAAACCATGATGGAAGAACGTTTAATTTTCTGTACTATGATTCACTCGATTTCAGTCAATATTTAGAGTGAAGTATGTCTCTCATACAATCCCAACTAGGTTTTGATGTTCAAGTCGAGCTCGAATATTACTAAGTTTGGCTCGACTAGAAAACTTTAGAATTAAGTTTGACTTACCTCGAAAACTCACGAGTTTAAAATTGTTAAGTTTGACTCGAACTCGAAATAAAAAAATTGAAGCTTGAGTCGACTCGAAAGCTCACGAGCTTAAAATTTTCAAGCTCCACTCTAAATAAAAAATTGAAGCTCAACTCAATGGCAAGTCCAGAAATATTTTTCAGAATGGGCACATATATATTAATAACAAAAAAATTTCATATGGAGTAGACATAAATAAAATTTCAGGGTAAGCACCTTAAGTAAAATGTACAACTAACATAGAAAAATACTTGTTCTAGGGTGGACACGTGCCCATCCTGGCTTGTACATACATCCGTCACTGACTCGACTCGACTCGAACTTGAACCTGAACATTAAGTTCATAAAAGCTTTATATTATAATTTTAAAAACAACAACATATAAATGTCAATATTATTAATAATTTAATTAAAAGATCTAAAGTTTTAATATATTACTTTTTAGAGTCAAGTATCAAGTAATTTATTTTGATTTTTTAAGAATTTGAGTCGATTCTATTTGATTCGAGTGTTGACTGAACTTTAACATAATCGATCTTGAGTAGTTTACGATCTCTCTTGTCTGGCCCGATATTCTTATTGGCATGGGAACAAGAGTGAAAATTGTATGTTGGGGTTATGGGAAAATGGGTTTACAGTGGGGTAGTTCTGCGGTGCGGCGCCTAAAAAATGGCTAATATACGGCTTGACCGGTTAAACAATTGACCGGTTAAAATTTATACCGGTTATGTTATATTATTTAACCGGAAATATTATAAAGTACAATAACATACTAGGTAGCGCTTATATAATGTAATAGGTAGCGCTTATATTTACCTATTTTATAAGTAAATCGGTATATTTATACCGATAGTATTGCAAATTTACATATTACATTATATTATATTGAAAGTGTTCATACTTTTTATAAAAAGGATCAATACTTCTTTTAAAGTTATGTAATTTATGTTTCAATTTTTTTTAATAGTGTTTCATGTTTTCCACCTACAATATTAATTTAATAATTTCATTTGCACAAAAAATTATTTGATTTTTTGATATTTTATAAAATATTATTTAGAATTTTTAATTTAATAATAATATATATCGTAACGTAAAAAATAAATCATTTTACGCCTATAATTACTAAATTAATATCTTAAAACTCACTCAAAAGATAACCTTAAATTAATGTTTCCACAGTGAAAAAAGTATGGACACTTTTATAAAAAGGATAGACACTTTACAATATAACCACTACCTATTACATTATATAAACGATACCTATTACATTATATAAGCGCTACCTATTACATCATATTTTTACCTATTATATTGAAAGTGTCCATACTTTTTATAAAAAGGATCGATACTTCTTTTAAAGTTATGTAATTTATGTTTCAATTTTTTTAATAGTGTTTCATGTTTTCCACCTACAATATTAATTTAATAATTTCATTTGCACAAAAATTATTTTATTTTTGATATTTTATAAAATATTATTTAGAATTTTTAATTTAATAATATATCGTAACGTAAAAAATAAATCATTAGACGCCTATAATTACTAAATTAATATCTTAAAACTCACTCAAAAGATAACATTAAATTAATGTTTTCCACAGTGAAAAAAGTATGGACACTTTATAAAAGGATAGACACTTTACAATATAACCACTACCTATTACATTATATAAACGATACCTATTACATTATATAAGCGCTACCTATTACATCATATTTTTACCTATTATATTGAAAGTGTCCATACTTTTTATAAAAAGGATCGATACTTCTTTTAAAGTTATGTAATTTATGTTTCAATTTTTTTTAATAGTGTTTCATGTTTTCCACCTACAATTTAATAATTTCATTTGCACAAAAAATTATTTGATTATTTGATATTTTATAAAATATTATTTAGAATTTTTAATTTAACAACATTAACCAAAGATAATAATAAATATGTAATATATATGTTTATTGTTTTTAATTTAATAATATATATACAACATCAAACACATTCCAAGCTATAATTACAAGCTAAGGACACTTGAAGAAGCAAGAGAACAACTATCCAAGCAATCAAAAACGAGAAAATCCCAACATGATAACAACTGAACATATCATATCAATGTTCAAACTCAAGTAGATTTTGATTTCCTTTTGTTTGGCATCATATGAGATTTGAATTTTGATTTCCTTTTGCTTGGCACCATATGAGCTTTGGATTTTGATGAGCATCGGAAGTATTTCGGACTTATGATTTGGGTGGTACTCATAAGCATTTCGGACTTATGATTTTAGTTGCTATTTGTTTACCACCCAGATCATACGCCCGAAACGTTTCTGACGCTTTAAAGTTGACCAAAAAATACAATGGTCGGGATTTCCCTCGCGTTTAAACGTTGGAAAAAAAACAATGGAAATTAGGAATAATCAATGATAACATGCATATTGGCTTGGGCTAATATTTATAGTGGAGCCGAAATATATATTGAAATTCAAACTCAAATTGAAATTTAAATTCAAACTCCAATTACATATGAAATGAATTTGAAATGCAGTGTTAAATTGAACATGAAAATTGCATAATTGATTCATACTGTTCAAGTAACATGCTTTATGAACCATCAAGCTAAAAGACAATATTGATTGAGTTCAAAGCTGAGTTGTGAGTTGATGGAGTTGTCACACTTGTCACATGGTTGGAATAAAGTAATTTTATTTAATAATTTTATTTGCACAAAAATTATTTGATTGTTTTGATATTTTATAAATAATATTTAGAATTTGTAATTTAATAATAATATATATCGTAACGTAAAAAATAAATCATTAGACGCCTATAATTACTAAATTAATATCTTAAAACTCACTCAAAATAACCTTAAATTAATGTTTTCCACAGTGAAAAAAATATGGACACTTTTATAAAAGGATAGATACTTTACAATATACCACTACCTATTACATTATATAAACGATACCTATTACATTATATAAGCGCTACCTATTACATCATATGTTTACCTATTATATTGAAAGTGTCCATACTTTTTATAAAAATGATCGATACTTTTTTAAAAGTTATGTAATTTATGTTTCAATTTTTTAACAGTGTTTCATGTTTTCCACCTACAATATTAATTTAATAATTTCATTTACACAAAAATTATTGATTGTTTTGATATTTTATAAAATAATATTTATAATTTAAATTTAACAACATTAACCAAAGATAATAATAATATGTAATATATATGTTTATTGTTTTTAATTTAATAATAATATATACCGTAACATAAAAAATAATCATTAGACGCCTATAATTACTAAATTAATATCTTAAAACTCACTCAAAAGATGTATATACCTAAATATGTAGTTAACAACATACCTAAATATGTAGTTATTGTACATACCTAAATTTAATGATAATATATACTTGTAGTTATTGTACATACCTAGATATGTACTGCGAATTTAATGTTGTACCCACCCTTTAACTACCACTACCAATGCCACATCCTATTGAAAGCAGCACGACTGAAACATGTTCAAAATGAACCTTTGCTTACATCTCCATCAACTCCTGGAGCACTGAACTTGCACAACAAAATTTTTGCCATGGATATTACTGATGTAGACAATGTTAAGCCAACCGAGGAATGCCATGAAGTACATAATGTTGATGAATCTGACAGATTGGTTGGTCAGCTCTTCTGTTCACGTGATCAAGCTTGGAACTTTTACAAGGGATTCGCACGGGAACATGGGTTTAGTGCACGTAAGGGAACAACACGGCTTGACGTGGAAGGGAATGTGAAGACACAAGAATTTTGTTGTTCCAAAGAAGGGTTTCGAGTATCAAAAGTCAATACTGTTGATCGTCAACGTGCTCATACGCCAGTCACAATAACAGGATGTAAGGCTAGAGTCGTAGTTACAGTAACAAATACAAACGATCAGTGGGTTATAAGTAAGTCTGATCAGAAACATAATCATGCATTGTGCACATCTGCTATGACACCATTTATGCGTTCTAATAGAGCTGTAAGTAAGGCTGATATCGATGAGGCAACAACATTGAAAGAGGTCGGTGTTGGCACGTCACAAGTAATGAACTATTTAACGCAGCAGGCAGGGGCTATCATAATGTTGGATTTACACATAAAGACCTCTACAATGCACTTCAAAGAGGTAAAGCAAAGGAAATCGTCGATGGGGATGTGAATGCGCTTATTGCCTACTTTGATTATAAGAAACATGATGATCCCGGGTTTTTATGACATACTCGGTAGACGAATCGGGGGCATTGTATAATCTTATTTGGTCGGATTCTACATCGATATCGGATTACACATGCTTCGGTGATGTAATTGCGTTCGACACAACGTACAAAGATAATTTGTATGGTCGACCAATTATGCCTATTGTTGGTGTCAATCATCACCATAACACAATTGTGTTTGCCACTGCCATAATCGCTGACGAGACGTCTCAATCTTTCGAGTGGGTGCTACAGAATTTTTTAGAAGCCATGATGAATAAATCACATATTTCCGTTGTAACCGATGGGGATAGGGCAATGCAGAGGGCTATCAAATC